GTGCTGGTGGTAACCGGGATGCTGAATTACTCTTTCGTACAAAGCCAATATCTGAAATCAGAAATGTTGAGTCCACCACCAACAAACACATTCAGAACTTGCTTCCTTTCTCTTCTTCCTTCTTGTTGCCCAGAGAAAGTTCATCTCCTCTAACTTTCGGAAGTTCCATAGGAAATACTAAACCCCAAACCCCTCCATTCTTTCCCAATAATCACAAGCTTTCACTCACTACTACCACGGCGGCGGCAGTGGCGACTGCTACTACTACTGCCCATCATCGAGAGAATGCAGCTGATGACAATTCTGAGAATTCTCAGCAGCAGCGTCCATCATTAACAGCAAGAGTGCTTAAAAACAATAGATTTACAAGGCGGAGGGTGACTCAGCAGCAGTGTCGTTCCGAGAAGCAGCAGGCAGTGCAGAGACAGACACCGTATACTGAAACTGATGCGTACATGGCTATAGAACTAGCAATGGATTCGGTTGTGAAGATTTTCACTGTTTCCAGTAGCCCCAACTATTTCCTCCCTTGGCAAAATAAGTCCCAATGCGAAAGCATGGGCTCCGGTAATCCCTAATCACTTTCTTTTCTTCCATTTTATCTATGGCACCACATTTTGGTGGTGCGTTATTAATGGCATTTGTTTTAGTTTTTACATTTTTAGTCCTGCATTGGTGAAAATACCTTAATGTTATTAAGTTTTATCAGTTTTTGAATGAATTTTTTTACTTAAAAGTTATGTGTATTTTTGGTTTCAATCTATCTTCTGGGAAACATGAAGTTGGATGTTGAACTGAAGAATACCTAACATGCAAAGTTCTGTGCTTTTTCACGCTAAGTTTTCTTACATGTTTTGAATGCAACCTTCTTGCTATTCAAAACTGAAATACATTAACATCATTTTTTTTTTAATCACGATGGGATTGTTCCTGTTTCATATAAATTCATGATAATGATACTGTAGGATTTGTTATTCCTGGGAAAAGGATTCTTACAAATGCCCATGTGGTGGCTGATCAGACATTTGTGCTTGTAAGAAAGCATGGTTCCCCCACAAAATATAGGGCAGAGGTTCTGGCTGTTGGTCATGAATGTGACTTAGCTATGCTTGTTGTTGAAAGTGAAGAGTTCTGGGAAGGCATGAATTATTTGGAGCTGGGAGATGTTCCAATTCTCCAAGAAGCTGTTGCTGTTGTTGGATATCCCCAAGGTAATTGTATAACAGATGATTAGAATTATTGCTGTTTTTTCCCCCTTTTTTTAACGCTCCTAACAAAGCACAACTACTTAAAGTAATCTCCTGGTTGGTTTCTTATTCTTCCTCTAGAATTTTATGGGTTGATATATTAGGATTTTAAATTTACTTAACAAAGATTGCTATCTTGTAACGAGAGAAACATTTAAACTTTAAACATGCTGATATCATTTTAAATTAACTTTCCTTCTGGAGAATAGCTAATACTTTACCTTCACATTCATGGTTTTCTTGCATGGACGCAGGAGGTGACAACATTTCTGTTACTAAAGGTGTTGTCTCTAGAGTTGAACCCACACAATATGTACATGGTGCAACCCAGCTAATGGCAATACAGATAGATGCAGCTATAAATCCTGGGAACAGTGGGGGGCCAGCTATAATGGGCAGCAAAGTTGCCGGTGTAGCTTTTCAGAACCTTGCAAACGCTGAGAATATTGGGTGAGTTGTGAGTCTGGTTTGCTGTTGTTACTTATCCTTATTTTGTTATTGTTATTTCTCTTTGGTGATAAGACACCATTCCTTTGATACTTAAGTTGAGAAGCCATTCTTTTGTTAGTTTTCAGTGATCTTTTTAACTTTATTTGATATGATATCCCATCCCATATAAGCATTTTAGTTTGCTGTTGAAGTCAATTTTCTGAAATAGTATTGGCCACATCTCATAATTACTTCTTGGAAGCTGTAACTGCCCCAATATAACGTTATTCTACATTCTACAATCCAGTTATTAAAATCTCTAGGTTGTAAATTTGGTTTGTTGCCTACATGTTTGCTCGTCCCACAAATAGATATTCTCTAAACTCCTCCAGACATAAATAACCATAAAATTGCAAACTGGAACTTAATTTTATCACTGAAAAGTACTTTGTTAACAGTTCTGTCTGTTAATTATTGTTCTAACTGTTTTCTCATGTGCGGTGCTCTGCAGCTACATAATTCCTGTTCCAGTAATAAAGCATTTTATATCTGGTATTGAGGAAAGTGGAAAGTATGTTGGATTCTGCTCTATGGGTTTATCTTGCCAGCCTACAGAAAACGCTCAGCTTCGTAACCACTTTGGAATGCACCCTGGGATGACTGGGGTACTTGTGAGCAAGATTAACCCTCTTTCAGATGCAAACAGATTCCTAAAAAAGGATGACATCATCCTTTCATTTGATGGAGTGCCTATAGCAAATGATGGAACTGGTACCTACCTGCCATGTATTCTCTTTATTCATACAGTTTCTAAGTTGGGATTTAAACATATTTCTGATCAAATTAGTTGCAAGAACGATACTGAAAAAGTTTATCTTTTTTCTGAATAAAATAATGTTGAGTGCCACATATAATACAAGATATTAGTTTTTTTTTTTTTTGTTTTATTCAGTGTGGACTGGCAAAAAAATGCCAGCCTGGACAACCACAGCTCTATGGGGAAAAGGGAAAGTCAAACTGCATCCTATGGCTGTGGTTGTTGGACTGGCCCTTTTTTGCCAGTCTGGACTAAAAAAACTTTTCTTCTTTTTTTTTTTTTTAATGATACAATCATTAAAATACTTTTCCTTTTCTTGTCTTCCTTAAGGAAGACAAAAACCCTTGAAACAATTAAGGGAAAGTTTTGCTGACTTCATTGAATTGAGACACTTCTCAGAGCAGAAAATTTTTCTTCTTACCCTTCTCTGCCATGTTGGTAATATTTATTTATATTTATGATTAAGCCTTATGTTCTAAATGTATGATTCACACACTTTGCAGTTCCTTTCCGGAACAGGGAGCGGATAACGTTTGATCATTTGGTGTCCATGAAGAAACCCAGTGAAACAGCTTTGGTCAAAGTTTTGAGGAATGGGGAAGAGCATGAGTTCACTGTGACCTTACGACCTGTAAGTAATTGTTCTATTCTCAATTATACCTGCAGACTCATGTTATTAGTCCAATCTTAATGCTGTAGCATAGATCATTCACCAAATGCCAGTGGAACTAATTTAAAATCATCATCAATGGAACTGAAGCCAAATTTTCAATTCACTTTTAAAGTTTTTGTTTCAAGAGGGAAGCAGGTCCTGAATTTGCCATACTATCCAAAAAAGAAGAAGAAAGAATTAACAGTATGCATCTAAAAGTTGGTTTTACCGTAAAGAAAGGAGACTTCTAAAAGAATCTTAAACCACCACATACTTTTGTCTTCCAAGCATAAAGGTTCCTTGATAGTGTGTCAGCTGTCAAATGGGATGATTTCTATCCATAGATTACATGATGATTTGCTTTAGAATAACTAAATTGAATTTTACTAGCTTGATGTATAACTGAACTGGTTTTTTCGCTTGTGCCTTTTGGCCTTTTAATACTGCAACACTTTTCAAAGCCTTCAAATTAGTGTAAATTTTCAGTAATGATGTAGTCAGTTTCAATCATATAAGCATCTTTACTGAAGTTGTTCATAATAAAGAAAATGGATTATATATATATATATATTTTGGTTTGCAGTTGCAGCCTCTAGTTCCAGTTCATCAATTTGACAAACGTCCTAGTTATTACATTTTTGCTGGTCTGGTCTTTATTCCGCTAACCCAGCCATACCTACATGAGTATGGAGAAGACTGGTATAATACTTCACCTCGTCGACTCTGTGAGCGTGCATTGAGGGAGCAGCCTCAAAAGGCTGGGGAGCAACTAGTCATCCTGTCTCAGGTCTGTATGCTTGCTTGACTGCGTAGCACATAAAGATTCTTTCTTTGAGAAGAAAACTTTCTAGAGTATCTATGTTTTTTTGGCCCTAAGGTATCAAATTCATTTCTGGCAAGAAAAGCAGAGACCTTAGTCTTAGAGCGGTAGTTGTATAAAGAAGCTTCCTTTTTCCATAAAAAATATTTCTCTATGAAATCTAGAAAGTCATTTTCCTACAAATTTCTCCTTTAGAAAAAAAAAAAAAAAGGGTTTCGATAAAATCTTCACTCACATTCAGACTTCACAAATTAGATGTTATTTTAAAGTTTCATGTTTTAATCTTTCATGAGATAACCAAATTTCTGGTTTAGGTGTTGATGGATGATATCAATACAGGATATGAACGTCTTGCTGAACTCCAGGTGCGCTACTATTTTTGTTGTAATTGTATTGTAATATTTATGCAAGAGATAGGATCCACTTACATAAGTGTAAGACTTTTAAGTCTCACATAAATTATCAGCGTTTGATTTCATAAATCCAATGGCTAAGATGATAATGTTATATTTAGCCAGTTAATAACTACATTACTAAATATAGCACCATCATCTCAGTTGTTGATTTCACAAATCCAATGGCTAGTAATTTATGTAAGACTTACGGTTCTTACACTTTATGTAAGTTGATCCTAACTCTGTACAGAAGGAATAGTAGGCAAATATGCCCCCAAAAGAATTTTCACTGGCAAATAAGCCTCTAATGAAACTTTAGTGGCAAATTTGCCCCAAAACTCCAAAGAAGCCAGAAATGGATGGAAAAGCGGACGTGGAAGTCTGGCCATCACATAAATTAAATGTTGACTAATGTTTTCCATCCACTTAGGGCAGATTTACAGTGCTTTATAAGTTCAGGGGTGAATTGCCACCAAACTTTCATTAGGGGCTTCCTTCCCTGGGTATTTTTTTTCGGTGCTTATTTGCAAACCAACAAAAAGGCCCTATTTTACAAGAAATTAAGGTTCAAATACCTACATCATGATTCATGCATTGTTTTAACAATTTACTCTGATGTTTTCAAATAGTGTTACTGCATTTTGTTTGAAGGTGTTCTTGTTTTGGTGCATAACTCATCTTATAAATACCAACATGCATATTTAACTGTCTGCTAAGGAACTCTTGAAAAAAAAAACCGTCTGCTAAGGAAAAAAAATTTCATTCTGTGGTAAACAGGTCAAGAAAGTCAACGGGATCAAAATTGACAACCTGAAGCATTTGTGCCAGCTTGTGGAAAATTGTAGCACAGAGAGCTTGAGGTTTGATTTGGATGATGATAGGGTGGTTGCATTGAACTATAAGTTGGCCAGAATTGCCACTTCTAGAATTTTACAACGTCATAGAATTCCTTCTGCCATGTCAAGTGACCTTATTAGCGAAGAAAACTGCGATCTTGCCTGCTCTAGCTGAGTCCTTAAATCTAACTTGATGCGTGGGCAGGCCACTAGATTGAGTTGGCCAAGTTTTTGTAATTCATTGGTTGGGAGTCACACACCTAAAATGCATTCGGTGACGTAACAGTATTCTTTGTACGGTGCATTCTTGCTAATTGTAGTCTAGTTTTAGCCTAAGAAGGAACTTAGAAGAGCAAGGGACATACCAAATCCCAAGGCTACTTTACGCCTTGAAAGCAATTGGTGTCTCAAATTAATGAAGTTCCTTTTTTTTTCTTGGTCTCTCTTTTTTGTTGTTCAAGCTTATTTACCAAAAAAATAAACATTGCTGATAAGCTAAATTGCAATGGTTAAATTATAAAACAAGTTTTTCTTTTTTGCCATGATTTATAAAAATACAAGCGTTTCATTAAAAATAGGAAATTAAATTTTTGCAAAACAATGAAAATATTTAACGAGAGTTTTAAACTCAGTTCCAAAAAGAAAAGCAGGAACCCAAGTCTCAGATCTTTTGAAGTGGCAAAAAAATATTATTCATACCAAGTCTTCAACCTTTGTAAAAATATTAGAAATTTGCTATCTTCTTGAATTAAAGTCGAGTACAACTAACACTTCTCTAAACATTTGTCTGAATTTCATGTAAATTAAAATCCTACTAATATTGGTAGTTAGGTGCCTTTCTGCATAGGTGATTTATAAATTTGTATTCAATTTTTTGTTTGGACAATTAAAATATTTTTGACTTAATTTTTACGCATGTTAAAATTATTAATTTAAAAAAAAAAAAATACAAACAAACAAACAAACACTACTCTATTCCCTAGCTATGCTTTTTGACCAACAATTTATGCTTTTAAGACATGCTATCTTATTATTGGGGTTAGTACACTAAATTATTAACTTTTAAAAGAAAGATTCTAGATAAATTTCATGACGTATGTAGTTGAAAATCAATATTTGTATAGATATAATGGAGGAGAAGGTTCTGGGTTTATCTGAGTCTGTGAGTCAAAGTACAATCACAAGGATTAAGAGGTGTTATTCATGTTAGTAAAGGCTGAACTTAGACTTAATTTATATGGTGACATCAGAAATTGGGGTGGGTTCAATTGTATCATTTATCTCATTTTCTATTGCTTACTTAATTTTTAAAATCTACATTTAATTTTATATAATTTTTTCAGTTAAGTTTCCCACCTTCAATAATTTTGAAACTACTCTGGAATACTGAAAACTGGGGTGGGTTTGATTAGGGATAGCAATTGGTCCCTGTAGTCGGTCCCCTGTCAATGTTGAGTATGACAATCCCTGGAGGAATTTTTTACTGTGAGAAAAAATGTCCCTTGTCTCCATTTCTATTCCCTGTTAGGAATGCGGTTACCTGCAAGTATTCACCATTCCCACCAAACTTTGATAAAAATAATAAATTTTTTTACCAATCACTTGAACAAGCAATTACTTCAAAAAAGATTACATGATTGAAAAATTCACACTATGTTAAAATTTAAATTTTAAATATAAAATAATTTTAGAATAAAAACCTAACTAACTAATAAAAGAAATAAATAATAAAATCTATGTAAATGAGGTTTAGACTTAAAATTTTATAATGAATTAAGTTGAATTGGATTAGATTTATTGTAATTTGAGAAAAAGGAAAATCAAGAATAATAACTACATAATACATTTTATAAAATTAAAATTTACATTATATTTCACATATTTAATGATTATGATTGAATATTTTGACATTAAAAATATTAAAATTTACATTATACCTCATTTGCTAAATGATTATAATTTCATGAGTGGTACTATAAGGATAACTTTTTTATATCACCTTTTAATGTAATCATGCATTCAATATCATAGGTTTCACATGAATTAAAAAAACTAATCATTTAAATAACACGTCAAGTTGTACAAAAAAAAAAGATAAAAAGATTGTACAAAAATTATTTCTCTAATTAGATATTCTGAAATTAAAAATATCATGATGTTTTGATTTTTATTTTTTCTTATAATTTTATATTTATTTTTTAATTT